CAATCAGTGACCTCAATTTGTCCCAAAGTGAAACGCCCCTTACTGCAGGAGCTCCACCCACTTTTCCTCTAACAACATTGCCAGGGTTTTGCATTATGAACATTTTGCAGTAAGAGGAATTTCGTGAAAAATCATCAGAAAAATGATTAAACGTTGTCAGTGGGGAGTATGTAATTCAGACAGCATTACCCAGAGTGTTTAGAGGGTGGAATACAGTTTATTACATTTCCAAAACAAAACAAAGTTTGGAAAAATTTAAAATATGGATAAAGGCCGGTGGGCAACCTCATAATCAGCTGAATGCAGTAGTGATAAACAGGAAGTACCACATGTTCATCTGTACAAAGGTAACTGCAAGTAAATCCTCCATTTTTGTCATAATTTCATTGTTAATGGTAAAATTAAAGGTTGATGCTTAAACAACAAAGTTCATGCTCAGTCATCCAGGTACCAAATCCAATAATTCTCAGTCAGGTCATCTGGACAGTTTCTTTTTTATAGAGGCATTTCGCCCTCTATCCGGAGGGCTTCATCAGTCTGAGGAGTTCCAGTGAACTGTTTTTTAATTTTGTAATGCTTAAAGCTAGTTGTGCTTTGTTTTGTGTGTTTGTGCTTTGTACAACTGATTTTGTACAAAGCGTTTATTAGGGTAACATAAAGTGGAGTGCTACGTCAATAGCATCTTAGCTAGCACATCTGTATTGTGCACTGCTAGCTTAGCGCTACTTCTTGTTGTGCCATGCACTCTAAAATAGTTACTGACTCAAGTGTTAACTTATGTACTAAGTAAACATAGATGTTTAACAACTCGTTAAAATACACCAGAATGCAAGACATGGCGTCCATTCAAAATGTTATGGGGGAGGACCCCCCGCCACTACCAGGGTGTTCCCCACACTTTACAAATGCTTCTGATGCCAATGGCCACTACGTTGTTCAAGAGCCGTTGTCAACACTGGGGGCTAAGCACCCCTAAAGGTCAGATTCTAGAATCGCCCCTGTAGCTAAATACGATGTAGTAGTGGCTGATTCTTCCTCATCACATTCCTGAGCACCATCATAGCTCAGGAGATCTTGTGATATTGCACCACCTGTGTTTTTCACACAGGGAACATGTTAATTATGTCCTGCCTGTTTTATTAAAGGTTTATTTTATTTATGTCACATCCAGAAACTTCTTTTCTGATGACCACCTCTGTTAACAACCTGACTTCATACAAAACTCGTTAATAATATCACAAAACTTAAAACTATGCCAGAAAATGTAAAATAGGACAACTTTGAAGGGATGATGGTGTCATTCTGTTCAAAAAGAGAGAGAGAGAAAGGTGAAATCTGCTAAATGTTGTGGCACTATTACAAAGTTCACATGTGAGGAAAGCTGCAGCTAAGATCGGCTGGCAGAGATCTACACCTGGTTCTGCTCATGTTTGGCTACATCTGTGGAACAAATCTGTAAAAGCATTTAGTGAACACGGTCCAAACTTTCCGTGGAGTTTAGTTATCTGATATTCATGTATCATCAACAAATCAAGGCACAGAAATAAATAAATTTACTACAACTCTGATTGTGCTGATCTAAAGCCCGCTATTAAAACTGTTATCTTTTACTGCTTCCAGTGAATTATTTTGTTTGAAATGAAGAGTTTTCAGATGAGGATAAATCAGCAGAAAAAGTAAACAATAGTGCCAGACGTTAAATAAAGTCTCAAGCGTTAGAAACCCACAATAATTTAGTTATATCACTGACAAAATAATAACTTTACACATAGGTTTTTTTTTTTTTTTGTAATACCAGTACTTTGGCAGGATACTTTTCCCAAGTGTTTTGTAAAGTATAATTCACCAAATTAAAACAAGTGTTAATGTTTATATCATATACGTGCAGACTGCAGATGAAATCCAAAGTCTTCACTGAAAGTTTTGAGGGGTTTTTGTTACCCGATCAACTTTATTTTCTGTGACCGGATTTTAACCTCTTACTCACTCCATTTTTCTTTTTTCATTCCTTTGCTTTTAAATCCTAATTTCCCTCTAAACACACGCCGCTCAGTCTTTGTTCATCTTGTGCAGTTAAATATAAATGACCTCTGAGGATCTGAGTGTACCAGATGATCCCTGTGATCTCTTTCCATTTTTGTCTTTAACAGTTTTCTTTGTTCAGATTTAGCTCAGTGGCAGTCAGGAATGTGTGTTAAGATACAGCTGCTATCTTAAAACCAGACTGTGTGTGTGTGTGTGTGGCAGATGTACTGCGTCTGTGAAGGACAAATGGCACATTCAGTGTAGATTTTAGTGTGTGTGGCCTCCAGGCATTTAAAAAGTTAAAGCAACTAGTTCAAAACTTGACAGTTGCACAGAACAAACTTTCTTTAGTTTCTGAATTTGCTGTGAATGAGTGTCTTTCTTCTGCACCCTGCTAGGTGGTCACTTACCACACACACACACACACACACACACACACGCACGCACGCACGCACGCACGCACGCACGCACGCACACACACACACATACATACACAAGGGTTATATAACTTCTGATGTCATCTCCAGAGGATCAAGAGTACTTCAGTGGAACATTTCTGCAGGAATTCATGTGTTTCTAGTTCATTTGTCTGATGTTCAGTCGTTTTTCAACAGTTTTGTTTGAAATCTTAACAGATCTTAAACTTAAATTAAAGAAAAATACTGTAACAAGTTAAAGGCCTAGCATTCTTTGAACAAATGCTTATAACCTGCTGCATTTTACAAGTTTTGAACAAACATCATGGTGGGCTGAGAAGTGACGAAGTTGTAGCTCTTATGTGCAACCGCATCAAATACTGTGAGATCTTGTGCTTTCAGGTATGTTGAGGATGACTCTCGGCTACTACCTTGCTAAATTTTAACCCAATTTCTGTACAACTGACTGAGTTACAGCCATTGTGCTGTTGGCCAAAGTCGATTAGCTGTGACGGCCATCTTTAATGGAGTGGACTCCAAAGTTTATCAGTTGTAGATTTAGCACAAATGCTCCATTTCGGAGAGTTTCATTCAAATCCGTGCAGTTGTTCAGGAGATATTTTGTTTTCACAAACAAATGAATGCACACACACGTGCAGACATGAGCAAAAATATCATCACCCTTTTGCCTCGGGTGGCAGGTGATAATATAAATATGATGTATGTCATTGTATGGAAACTGCTGCAGAAATAAAGTGAAAGTGAAACTGCAGCCTGGGGAGAAGGAGGTAATATTTTTTTCCACATTTCCTTGAAAAATTGATGTATGTGTGGGTTCTCTGGGGTCCATTAAACCATGTTCCTTAAAGCTGGAACACGAGTGCAAAGGGCCCATCAGGAAGTCCATGAAGCAGATATGAACTCCCAGCATGCTCTTTGCCTTTGAACACCTATTGTTGAAGTAAATCATTCGTGTAGTTCTCCCGTTTTTAAGAAATTTAATGCGAAGAGAACTGAACCAAGCATGGCTGGAAGGATATGCAAAGGTTATTTGACTTACAAATAGCAATTTGTCACCCTGTTTAAATCTACATGAGGCTTTCAAACATGTAAAAAAAATAAAAGTAGTCTAGTCTGAGTCCTGAGCGCCCGCAGTTCACCGGCATCTGGCTCGGCGCTTATTTTCCACCCTGGGATCCATCCAGTGGCTCTGCCGCTTCCAGGAAAACTAAATCAGACCCCAAAAATACTGTCCACGACAGGCTGGACAGCTACAGGAGGATGAAGTGTGAAAAAGAATAAGGGGAAAACTAAAAAAAAGAATCAATCACTTTTGTCTTTTAAAAATGTTTATTATAAATTAACAAATAAAAAAAAGAAACTTGCAGGTATGCAGTCATAATCAACCTTGTCTTGGTATTTAGAAAGTAAAACATTATGTGATGTGTACCGAGTGGAAAACTGCTTAACATTAATGGATTTTCCTTCTGTTTCAAGAGTTTACAACAGAGTCAGTACAGTTAATGAAAAATACAGTACAAACTTTGGCCTCATCATAAAATGCAGCCACGGATTCATTACAGAATCAAATATTGTTGGATACAAGCACAAATAATAATTTTGAAATTGTTTTTTTTTTAATTTTTCTCAACAAAACTTGTAATTTACCAAAACTCCAGGTTCTGAAAAACTACAAGTATATCAACAGCATTATTATCATCTCTTATTTACCATATTTTTCGGATTATAAGGCGCATTAAAGTGAAACAAAAACAGTCTGATAGTCAAACTTTATTCAACTCATTCACAATAACCACATAAAATCAGTTCGAGGTCAGTAATCACAACCAGAATTAATACATAAGGCTCACTGTCGATTTTTGAGAAAATTAAAGGATTTTAAGTGCGCCTTATAGTGCGAAAAATACGGTATTCAGGTAAAAATCTCAAAAATATTAAAATCTCCCTTTTCATCAAAGACTTGGCCATAAAGGCAAAAGAGAAGAAGCCATTAAACTTGTCGTAAAGTGAGACATTGACGTATAAAGTTTCTTATCAGGATTTTAAAGTTACTTCAGAGCAGAATGTTTTTTAAAATTAGTTTCACAAGGTGACCTGTCACCATAAACATTACAAAGTAACCTCAAATGGTCTGAAATGAGATCTTTTTTATGTGACTTCAGTTCAATTTCATGAGTGTTATGTGACTTTTTAATTACCAGGCACATCACGCCAAAAAAAGGTCACTTCACTTTCTTTGTTCTGCCACACAAGAGCATCACTTTATTTTTTGTAAAAGCTGTATTAATGGGGTAAATTAGAAGCTTCTCTAATAAAATGTTTGTTTTTGTGTACTAACGTGAGCTTTACTGTAGAGTGATTTCTTATCCAATTTCCTGAATGACAACATTTTAAAAAGGTTTACGTTTTCTAAATTTCCCTTTGGAGCAGCTGCTGCTCCGCTGTGTGCGAGACATTCATTAGACCAGCGGATCCACTGTCATATAGAAACAAAACATCTGTTTTGGTTTTGATTTGTAAGATGTGCCTAACCACTAAACATCCATCCGACTCACTTTTCCATCAGGCTAATAAGCAAAGAAAACATCATACATCATCTGGTGTCCGTTATCCCACGCATAAAGCTTCTTTTCCAGCGGGCTGTAAGAAAGCTGCGAGGTGTGCATGTGTGTGTTCGTGAACGCCAGGCTCGGCACGGTGTGCGTGAGCGTGTGCGTGTCAAAGGCGTACGTCACGTTTGCGTAGCGACGCTCCATACTATCCACTGCGTACAGCACGCCACACACGAGGAAGCTGTTGCCGTAACGACCACGCCGGAGGCCAGTGCGGAAGGTGCGTATAGGCTGAAGGTCTCGAGGATGGAGGTGGATGAGCAGGATCACTTCTTGGTGGAAGCCCTCCGTGTCCAGAGCCGGGTAGAGCAGCCAGAGGCCCGACTCATCGACAGCAAACTCCACCTGGAAAATAAAAACATGAAACAGTTAGAGAGGCGAAAAATTAGTTTTTTTCTTTTAGGCCTTAAAGTGGCAGAATTTATCATTTAAATTTGAAAGCATGTCCTCTTTTGTATAGAAGTGAAGAACCAGTGCATGATTATCCACCAGTCCTGCAGTTTTGTTAGCTGAATAAAGTATTAGTTTGGTTTAAAACAAATCACTGTTTTCCATCACATCAAGAAGCTTTTAACAGAATTTAGCTCAGATGAACTCAAACTAACTCAGCATCAAACACAGTTAGCAGCTGTTATTAAACTGGTGGAGTAAAAAGTATATTTCTTGGGGCCACAGAGGTGTTTAATCTAAATATATAGTTTTGGTTTGAACTGTGCATGCATAAATGTTTTTCCTTTTACATAGTGCAGCTAAAACGTTTTAATCTCGGTAACGTTTCTTGTACGGTTCCATTTGTATAAGAAACTGATTTGAAAAAAAAAAAAAGCCTACTCAATATAAAGCATCCAGAGCATGCATCAGGATACTCAATATAAACTTAAAAGTTACCACATTAGCGCTGCTAAAAGATTTTTTCATTGTTAACCACTCCAAAAACATATATTTAGCTTTATACAGTTTATTTTTGTTGTTTTGAACCAAAGTCAAAGATTTTAATCAAATCAAATCTGTGCTTAAAGATGAGGTTAAGGCAATGACTGTTCTAAAAAGTGAATTGTATTAAGAAAAAAAATGGAGGGTCTTCTTTATTTGATCCACAACTTGTTCCGACTCAAAAGGTCAGAAATAAAACATTTGCCACTGTAAAGCAAAAAAAAAAAAAACCCATAAAAATGAAATGACAGGTTTACATTAGAGCTGATCATTTCCAACAGAATAAATAATTCAGTAAAAATGTGACCGTAAAACGTAACGAGAGAGTCGAGCGTGGCAGTGGTGATGATTTTCTCAGCGTTTTCCTCAGAAACAAACGCCGTTTCCAAAACAATTGAAACAACTCCTTGATTTTTTTTCCCCTTCATTGTTTCCAGCTTTAACTACTTGTCCTTCTGAACTCTTTAGTGATTTGCAGTCTTGTTTGTGTTTATGCTGAACACACCCACTGCGGAAACCCTTTTCGGTTTTTCCCATTTGTCTAATAACCCTGCAGACTTACTTCGGTTTGTGTCCTGTGAGTTTGCTCCTCCAGTAAAGCATCATGTAGTGTTGTCCAGGCAGAAACGTATCTGTGTCTCAGGTCGTATCTGATCACGTCTCCGCTGAACGCTCGGTTATAGTAAAAGGCTCCGTTAAACACGACATGACCTGTTCCAGTGAAACTGTAGGGCAGCTTGTATGTATTACTCGCCTGACCTGGGCAGCAAAAACACACATGATTACCAGTAACTTTAGGAAGTTCAGGGTAAACTCCACTTAAGTGCAAGCACATGTGTTGAGTTTATGCTAGATAAACTCTGTTCACAGTTGTTTGTTATTAAGATATTGTCTTTTAAGTTTTAGGCGCGTGGTTTCTATAGCTGTTACACAGTTTGTTCTGACAAACCAAACATGTAAAATGTGTTAAATCTCAAAAAAAAACTTTGCTACTTGTACCAAATGTGTTGTAGGCTGAACATTTGGACAGAGCACTTTGATATTGCTTTTTTGTAAACTATTAAACATCACATTCTTTTTCATTATTTAGAACATGTGCCAATACAGCTGCAATTACAACTAAAATATCTAACAATGTTGTCAGGTCCTCTGGATGGATTAAAAAAAACCCGTTGAAACGTTTCATCTTTAATCCAAAAGACTTCTTCAGTCTGAGGAGCGGCACTAAACTCAGGTTGTTTACTATTCACAGGGGGCTGAGTGATACTGGCAATAACAGCATTGTAAGAGGGGGACAGTTGAACACGGAGGCCTCCGCCCCTGTTTAATGATGGATGGGTTCTCCTCACAAAGATGGCCTCCTTTACTCCTCTCTCAAACCATCGTTCCTCTCTATCAAGGTTGTGAACATCTTCATCCCTGAAAGAGTGACCTTTAGCCTGTAGATGTAGACTGCAGAGTCCTGGCCTGGTGATGTTGTTCTTCTGTGCTGGGCCATCCTTTTGGCTAGAGGCCTCCGTGTCCAATTGTCACCCTCAATGATTGACATTGGGCATTAACGATCTGTCATTAGGCTGATGGTCCTCCTTTATCATGTGAACAACTAGTTCTGGCTGTCACCAGCAAACTGGTTGATCCACTATGAGAAGGGGCTATTTATAAGACCGAGTTTGTTGCAGCTCCTCAGACTGAAGAAGTCTTTTGGATAAAAGATGAAATGTTTCAACATTTTTTTTTATCCATCCAGAGGACCTGACAACTTTGTTGGATTTTTCTACCTGGATTTTTGAGCATGCATCAGGATACAACAACAAGAGTTCATATTTAGGGTGTCAAACCAGTTTGTGCTGAAAAATACAAATTCAATTGTGGAAAACATTGTCCCATTGTTACCCGAATGTCCTAAATTAAACTAGTTGTATTTCAAAAAGCTGATAAATAATGAAAAGCTACATGACTCTTGCTTGGTTAAACACATTAAATATATTTTAAACATGATTTACTATATGTATAACTGGCAATTCAGCTCAGGGTGAAATAAAAAAAAAAATCAAATCGAACTTGTGCCGAGTTTAAAAGTATGTTTTCTGTTTCAGTCAGCCTTTTGTCATGTATGATTTCTAGTTGATTCTAGTTGTCTTGGAGCGCTCATGTGATGAATAGACAGTAGAAACTGTCAGTGACACAAATATCTTTGCGAACGACTCACTTTATGTTGTCTTTTCAAATCTGAAAGTCTTATACCTGAAATGAAAGTGTCCATATCCCGAAATTCTAGTAGACTGTTGCCATAGTGACCATTGGTGAGGTAGATGACATTGCCGTGGCCACGAGCATCTTTCATCCAGGCTCCATCCCCGAGACCGTAGAGGTTCTGCTGGACCGGCTCGGAGATGCTGGCTACCGTGTCCTTACACACACCTGTAGGAGGACACACAACAGATAACATCATCATCATTATTATTATCATTATTACCATTATCATTATTGTTATTATCTGCTTTGAGAAAAAACTACACGTGCCTAGTATGAAGTAGGTGTGTTGCCAGACAGTATATCTACGAAAACTCATTTCTGGTTCAGAATTAGTTGCTTGAGACGGTTGTTAATGCGAAGAATGGTATAAGACTTCAATATATATATTTTACATTATTTAGGTCCGTTTTCTGACTAATAAAAAATAAATAAATAAATCACATATCAGCCAGTCGATGGTGTCAGCCTCATCTCTACCTGGTTTTTTGGTGACCTTGGGTTGGTCAGCAGGGCTCTCCGTCCAGCTGAGTCGACTTTTGGGTTTTGGCTGGGACGCTGCAGTTGGAAGTGCATCGCTGGGCGGATTGATGTTGGTGTCTGAAGGTGACGTAGGACGCTCGGTGACCGGTGGGGTTTGATGGGATGCAGCTGCGAGTTTGGTCGTCACCTCCTGTGAAGCCGTTTTCGTTGGTTTGACGGGAGATGGCTTGGTGGTTGATTTCGGTTGACGTGTGGGTAAATGATCGCTCTGACTCTTTGATATGGACTTCTGGTCAACTTCTCTGAAAAAGGTTCTTGAAGGTCCAGGACTATTGGTGGCAAATGGCAACTTGACATAAATCTGTGAGTCTTCTTCAGCGTCAGTGGTTACTAAATAAACAAAAGAAGAAATGGGGCCACAAATGTGATTACAGTAAGACCTAAATGATACTTAAACTAATGCACTTACTAGTCTTTCCTCTTCCTTTCTTTTGCTCCTCTTCTCCTTCGTAACTCTCTTCATCTGCTTTGTAAAAGGTCACGCCTCTGATAAACACATTGTTCTTTTCTTTGACTGAACTTTTGGTTTCTGTCTCGTTCCTCGTTGGTTTCTGTTGCTCCAAACCATCTTGCTGTTGATTTTTCTTCAATTGGCTTTCATTATTTTTCTGCAACCAAAAATGTGGTTTTAGTTAGAGGACTAAGAACTTTTTAGTTCTTCAAAATATGTTAGAGCATCGTAGTTAAGAATTTTGCATTTTAAACCATTGAGTGATACCTGCTTGTGAGTGTGTGCACCTGCTCCAATTTTCGGTCCCGAACGCTCCAAATCGCTCATTTTCTTTTTCTTCTGCTGAGCCTTCTTTTCTTTGTCCTTTTCTTTTGCTTTCTCCTTCATGCGCTCTTTCTCTCTCATCATTTCGGTTAAATTTCGTGCAAAATCCTGGAGTTCACAAACAAAAAGGACACGTCGCACACACCAGAGTAGATCAAGAACCATAATTCAAGTAGTGATGAAAAAAAAAAAAGTAAATGCTAAATAACGTCAAAGCTTAAGAACTAGTTGGGCAAAAAAAGAAGCAGATATACTGTTATAGGATCCTGATCCAGCACTGCACATCTGTAAAACTCATTGTCCAGGTGAGTGACAGATAAACTTTCCCACTTCTGTGACTGTGTTGAAAACGGTTTGTCAAACAGTATTTTTATTTAGTTGAAATAACATTTGTTCTGCAAAATTGGCAAATAAAGTAGTTTTGCTACTATATGGACACTCACTCCTTTTTTATTTGTCAATTTTTGAAGTCAGAGAAAATGTTCATGAACGTAATCTAGAAAACCCGGAAGGTTTATCTGTAGTTCACGATGCTCGTGATTTACTGTCACATTTATTCTTACAGCTGTGACTGAGCATTAAGGCTAATAAGGTTTACTACAGATTTACACCATCAGGTCTCACCCGTGTGTTGAGGTGAACTGTAAGACTTGTGAATGAGCATATAGGTACAGTAGAGTCACCCTTTGAGGAAAAATACCATTTGTCCCATTAAAGTTATTCTGCAACTATTGGCCAAAGTCCTGCTAATCATTAGTTGTTGGGGTTTTTTGCCCGATGATAAAAAATAAAAATAAACATATCCTTGCTTTTGCATAAATAAAGCATTTTTCCTTTTTCTAAAGGGACTTTATTGGCTTTTAAGTACTGTCAGCCTGTAACAAGAGACTTTAGTTGCATTTCTTAATGTGGGACCATTCATACTGTAGTTTGAACCTGCTCACCTTCTCCATGTTGTCCACCCGACTCAGCAGTTTGGTAGTGACAGAGTGAAGCTTTAACAAGTCCAGTCCATACATAGAGCCTTCCAATAAGTCAATGATGGTAGCCATCTAGACAGAAATAAACAAGATCAATGAGAGAAGAATAAAAGAGGATCAGAAGATGAAGAAAACGTTGTTTGTCAAATCTACTTCAATAAAAAAATTGTTCAAAAGCTAATGGTCATGTTTCTACCTTGATGTCATCTTTGCTTGCCTCCTGTAGTTTTTTAAACCTGTACTCTCCTTCGCAGGGGTTAACAGCTGAAGGTGGAGCCATGCACACACACTTCTTGCAGTCTGATCCCTTGGTGATTGTCTCAACAGTGTAAAAGTCCTGGGACTGCGATGCAGAATCACCCTCATGGATACGGCTGCAGTCAGAGCGTCTGATTGGTCGAACCACACAGCGGCACACACAGTCTGAGCCAGATGACACGGTCTTTACTTTGTCATAATCTCCCAGCAGCTGAAAGAAAGAGACCAATTTTTCTTATTTTAGACATTTTCACCCCACAAAAAAACCCAAACTCAGATGATGAAAGTGAAACTCCCTGTCAGCCTGTACAATAAGCAAGGGCACAATAATTACATATAAAAATGAGCTGGAGGATGTTTGATGATGTGCAGCTGCAGCAGTGGTGAGCCTCCTCTCAAAAGATAGCTGCAGGAGTTTACAAACAGGCAGTTTGGGGGTTTGGACCACTTGCAGTTTGAAGGATGTTACATAACCATTAACCAGAGGGATGCACTCTGTCAACAAAATGTGGGCACAAACACAAAGCCCTGGTGTTTCCCATCATTTAAACTGGCAATAAGAGGGTTTGGCTTGGGTTTTAAGGAGGACTGTAGTCTTGGCTTATTTTGAAACTGGCGCGAGCGACTGGAGCAATCTCCAAAACCATTTTCATATATATATTTTTAAGCATCATATCCTAAATGGATGAGAACTTTGTCTCGTGTGTTTTTGTGTGATGAAGATGGAAAGTTTTAGAGAAGTGATTAAAAAAAGAAAAAAACACTTAGAAATGTGGTGTGCTGTGTTGATGATGATGGGCCTGAATGTTTACTGGAAACAGGAAATTCACTTAACTTTTGCAGTTCTGACTTTAAAACCTAAAATTTCTAATGATTACTGCGTTCATTTCCTAAAATTATACATAAGTCATATTTCATATCATTTTAAATTCAGCTTTGAAAGGTCATCATTTAAATAGATATCATTTAAATCATGTTGGATGATGATGAAAAGTGACCTTTTATCTGCTTTTGTTTACAGTACACATTTTTTAAACTGCGTTTAGAATTGGAACATTTTTTTCTACAGACCTGGCTTATTATATTCTCCTGGTTGTCCAGCTCATCCTCCAGAGGCTCGGAGGTGGGCTCCACACCGAGAAGCCGGGGCCCACCTGCCCGCTGACCCTCCGCTTTGGTAGCCGCGAAGGGAGCACTTCTGTCCGTCTCCATGAGCTCCACGGCTCCGGTCAACCGCAGCTCCTCGCCGGGTGAGTCCAGGGTTGAATCCGCCGCCAGAGCACTGAGTGTCCGTAAAACACAGCAGAAAATCTGCAGGGACAGAACGCGCCACATTTTCCTCTCACAAAACCAGGCAATGAATCAAAAGAATGAGCGTAAAAAGTCATAAACTCAACAAAAGAAGAAGCTAGTTGTTCTGGTTGCAAATTATTAGCTTAAATGTTGAGGTCACAACGGGTCTGCATTTTATCCTGGTCAAACAATAAAATCAATAATATTAGAAGAAAATGTGCGCTCTGTCCTTTTTATAAAGTCTATAAAATTATAATTCGCAAAAAAAAAAAAAAGAAACATTGGAAAAAACTACATAAGGTTGTACAGTACTTCATTGAATGAAGAGCCCCACAGGACTGAAGGAGCAGAACACAGACTCAGGTTAGACTCAGCAGGGTGAATGATGCCAACCAATCAGAACAGCTCTTGTATCCATGGAGTTTAAACAGAGATTTTGATTGGTCAAATGTCAGGGCGGGCACTTTAAAGACCAGTAGGGATGCGTGTCCTTTCAAAGTAATGGCTTTTATCGATTTAAGTTCACAACAGACCAGTCAGAGCAGGCTGTTTTCAGGTTTAATAGACAATATCAGGAAGAGCACTTTCACTGAAGATAACTACAACAAAATGTTTTACATGTAAAAAAAAAAATGTCTGTTTGGTTTTATAATATTAAAAATAATCTGTAATCACAAATTTTTTTTCATTCAACCTTTATTTAGACAGGTAAATCCCATTGAGCCTGGAGGACTCATTTACAAGAGACCTGATTTCAACAAAGAGTAGATTTATTTTTTTTAATTTAACAAATAATTTGGCAAAAAATGTAACAAAAACCAGCTAGATTATAAGGCGAATGTAGAAAACTAAAAACAGGAACATGTCTGCATTGGTCCCTGCCAGGAGTCCAACCAGCCACTTAGAGAGGTCAAGGTCAAGAGCTTCAGATCTTTTTGTAAGATATTCCAGGAAACAGGAGTGGAGTAGGAGAAGGCCCTGAGAATGTCCTTAATGTCCTGAGAGCGCACGCTGTAGCTGCACTCACGCAGAGACATGTAGGAGGAGATGTATGAAGGCAGCAGACCAAGAAGTGATTTAAAGATGAAAATGTACCAGTGAGAGAGTCTGCGTGAAGTT